GAAAGGTATGAATCAGAATTAATATTTTCACATTACAACCAATGTAATGGTTTCAATTATATCTTCATTTGAAATACATGTGTATGTGTATGTGTATGTATATGTATATGTATATGTATATGTATATGTATATGTGTATGTGTATGTGTATGTGTATGTGTATGTGTATGTGTATGTGTATGTGTATGTGTATGTGTATGTGTATGTGTATGTGTATGTGTATGTACACATGTATGTGTGTATGTATGCAAATGTATATGTATGTATATATATTTATATAAATGTATGTTTATTTATGCATTTGTATGCATGTGTATGTATGCATGTGTATGTGTATGTGTATGTGTATGTGTATGTGTATGTGTATGTGTATGTGTATGTGTATGTGTATGTGTATGTGTATGTGTATGTGTATGTGTATGTGAATATATATATATATATATATATATATATATATATATATATATATATATATATATATACATATATACATATATACATATATACATATATACATATATACATATATACATATATACATATATACATATATACATATATACATATATACATATATACATATATACATATATACATATATATTCTCTATCAATATACAGTAAGAGAATTCAAAAAAATATATTTCCTTATGGAAAAAAACAATAAAAAATAATCAAATAAATACTTTTACACATACAGTTATATCCACCCACATCCATTCCTCCACAGTCCCCTCAAAAAAGATAAAAAAAAAAAGATAAAAAAAGGAAAAAAAAAAATCTGGGAGAAAAAAAACAAAAAAATAAAAATCCTTCACCTTGCAACTGACCTGCAGTGGTGCTTGCGTCGCCCCATCCAAAACTGCGTGTTGCATCCCGTGCAGCAGTCGACGGCGTGGTCAGGCACCCAGAGCGTCGGCCGGGCCTCCCCCTCCTCCACCGCCTCCCACGAGGTGTCAGACACCCCAGACTCCTGCCCCACCGAGCCTCCCGAGCCGGAGCCCACGCTCTCAGGAAGGGACATCTGTGGCAGGGAGAGAAGGGGAACAGAGCATTGAGAGGGGGAAGGGAGGAAGGGGGAAGGGAGGCAGGGGGAAGGAAGAATGGGGGAAGGGAGGAAGGGGGGGAACAAAAGCATTGAGAGGATGAAGGGAGGAAGAGGGGGGAACAGAGCATTGAGTGGGGGAAAGGAGGAAGAGGGGGGAAGGGAGAAAGGGGGGGAAGGGAGAAAGGAGGAGGAAGGGAGAAAGGAGGGGGGAAGGGAGAAAGGGGGGGTAATGGAGGAAGAGGAGGAAGGTTGATGAACAGAAACATTTTATAACCTTTCTTAACACTTGTTCAGGTGAAATCCAGTCACAGACTCCTATTCTATTAAAAAAATAATAATAATAAAAAAATATATATAAAAATTCATGAACTTGAATGCTGGATACATCTACTGGTCAAACAATTCTGCTATTTAGATTAAAAAAAAATATATTATTTGTTTATGATTTCTATTTCAAAGATATCCAATTAGAAGGAATAAGGTGGAAACACACCCAGACATGAATAAAGCATACCTGGTCTTCTGTAGTGTCATGGTGGTGGTGATGGCAGCGATTATGCAGTACTTGGTTACAGAGTGCCTGCCGCGTCGCCTGCAAATCTCTCTTTAGAGATTCAACCTCAGACTGGAAGAGAACCATATATAAATAGATAGACAGATAGATATTACATATATATGTATGTGTGTATATATATGTATATATATATAAATGAATATAGTTACTTTGATGTCTTTTTCTCTCTAAAAAAAATCTTAGATGAATACTTTCTATGCTAACACACCTCAAGGTTATTAATTATCATACTATAACAGTTGCAAAATTACTCAGATCCTTCACTAAGCAAATAACAAAAATGTATACCCTAATGTTTCCCTTTCTGCAAATTCTCAATTACATATGATTGTTTAAAACAGCAAAAAAGTAGCTAAACCATGAAGCATCACATGGCTTTTAAACCAATACAGATCTTCAATGATTTAGAGGATATAAAAAGAGTTCTCTAATTATATTCACTGAAAATGTAACCAGCAAATTACAATTCACTAATCTCTGATTGGGGTATACAATAGTGATAAAATCCTTTTTTACCTGATGCTGCAAGAGTATCTGATGAAGTCGTTTCGTAACCTCATCACTAACATTATGGAGACCATCAATTGTTGAATAATTGCTACCCCGACTGTTGTCTCCACCACCAAACCTGAAAGAAGAAGAACAAAAAATCAAAAAAGAATCACTTGACAAAATATCATAAAAAGCAAACATTAATGGCCTACCTTTTCTTTTCCTTTCATATTTAGAAGTTTATCATACATTCAGTTTAACCCATTCGCGCTGGATGTCACGTATACCTGACGTGCCCACTGTGAGTTTACTTGTTTAATTGTTTTCACACATAGATGGCTACACTTGTACTTGTACTACCTGTCTCGCCTATTTACCCTTTTCTTT